AAAAATAAAGAAAACGTTGGCAGGGCAATTCCTCTTAATAATGGAAGAGACGAGGTAAAACAGGATAGGATAAGTGACAGATACGCAGGAGGTTCAAGAAGTGTGGTGGCCGCTCAGAGGAGGGAAAGAGTTCAGAGCCTAGAACACCGGAAGGATGGGGTGCAGGGGCTCTCGTTTCAGAAAGGGGTACGATTGTGGCTTCAAGTGTCTGATCTGCTTGGCACCCCTCCCTTGTTCCCCAGAAGGCATTTCTCCCTTTCTCTAGGGGATTGCTTCTTCCTTTACTCCAGTCATCTGAGATGGACTTGAGATGAGGCTGCCAGTGATAGCATCCCGCACCTTAGCCACTGGTGTGGGTGTGGGACCTAACCTAAGCTGATTCAGTTCAGTTCAGTTCAGTCACTCAGTCGTGTCCAACTCCTTGTGACCCCATGAATCACAGCACGCCAGGCCTCCCTGTCCATCACCAACTCCCGGAGTTTACTCAAACTCATGTCCATTGAGTTGGTGATGCCATCCAGCCATCTCATCCTCTGTCGTCCCCTTCTCCTCCTGCCCCCAATCCCTCCCAGCATCAGGGTCTTTTCCAATGAGTTAACTCTTCCCACGAGGTGGCCAAAGTATTGGAGCTTCAGCTTCAGCATCAGTGCTTCCAAGGAACACCCAGGACTGATCTCCTTTAGGATGGACTGGTTGGATCTCCTTGCAGTCCAAGGGACTCTCAAGAGTCTTCTCCAACACCACAGTTCAAAAGCATCAATTTGTCAGTGCTCAACTTTCTTTATAGTCCAACACTCACATCCATACATGACCACTGGAAAAACCATAGCCTTGACCAGACGGACATTTGTTGGCAAAGTAATGTCTCTGCTTTTTGATATGCTGTCTAGGTTGGTCATAACTTTCCTTCCAAGGAGTAAGCATCTTTTAATTTCATGGCTGTAATCACCATCTGCAGTGATTTTGGAGCCCCCAAAAATGAAGTCACCCACTATTTCCACTGTTTCCCCACCTATTTGCCATGAAGTGATGGGACCAGATGCCATGATCTTAGTTTTCTGGATGTTGAGCTTTAAGCCAACTTTTTCACTCTCCTCTTTCACTTTCATCAAGAGGCTTTTTAGTTCCTCTTCACTTTCTGCTATAAGGGTGGTGTCATCTGCATATCTGAGGTTATTGATATTTCTCCTGGCAAACTTGATTCCAGCTTGTGCTTCTTCCAGCCCAGTGTTTCTCATGATGTACTCTGCATAGAAGTTAAATAAGCAGGGTGACAATATACAGTCTTGACGTACTCCTTTTCCTATTTGGAACCAGTCTGTTGTTCCATGTCCAGTTCTAACTGTTGCTTCCTGACCTGCATACAGGTTTCTCAAGAGGCAGGTCAGGTGGTCTGGTATTCCCATCTCTTTCAGAATTTTCCACAGTTTATTGTGATCCACAACAGTCAAAGGCTTTGACATAGTCAATAAAGCAGAAATAGATGTTTTTCTGGAACTCTCTTGCCTTTCCGATGATCCAATAGATGTTGGCAATTTGATCTCTGGTTCCGCTGCCTTTTCTAAAACCAGCTTGAACATCTGGAAGTTCACGGTTCACGTATTGCTGAAGCCTGGCTTGGAGAATTTTGAGCATTACTTTACTAGTGTGTGAGATGAGTGCAATTGTGTGGTAGCTTGAACATTCTTTGGCATTGCCTTTCTTTGGGATTGGAATGAGAACTGACCTTTTTCAGTCCTGTGACCACTGCTGAGTTTTCCAAATTTGCTGGCATATTGAGTGCAGCACTTTCACAGCATCATATTTCAGGATTTGAAATAGCTCAACTGGAATTCCATCACTTCCCCTAGCTTTGTTCATAGTGATGCTTCCTAAGGGCCACTTGACTTCGCATTCCAGGATGTCTGGCTTTAGGTGAGTGATAACACCATTGTGATTATCTGGGTTGTGAAGATCTTTTTTGTACAGTTCTTCTGTGTATTCTTGCCACCTCATTAATATCTTCTGCTTCTGTTAGGTCCATACGATTTCTGTCCTTTATTGTGCCCATCTTTGCATGAAATGTTCCCTTGGTATCTCTAATTTTCTGTAAGAGATCTCTAGTCTTTCCCATTCTGTTGTTTTCCTCTATTTCTTTGCACTGATCGCTGAGGAAGCCTTCTTATCTTTCCTTGCTATTCTTTGGAACTCTGCATTCAAATGGGAATATCTTTCCTTTTCTCCTTTGCTTTTCACTTCTCTTCTTTTCACAGCTATTGTAAGGCCTCCTCAGACAGACATTTTTCTTTTTCGCATTTCTTTTCCATGGGGATGGCCTTGATCCCTGCCTCCTGTACAATGTCACGAACCTCCGTCCATAGCTCATCAGGCCCTCTGTCTATCAGATCTAGTCCCTTAAATCTATTTCTCACTTTCACTGTATCATCATAAAGGATTTCATTTAGAATTCTTTAAAAAGAAAACTAAGGGAAGTAACCAGCATGCTTGCATGAAACGTGAGAAGGAGCTGCTAGCCCCACGGATCCTGCTCTGTGGCTGGGCTGAGGAAAGGCAGCTGGGAACAGAGATGGGGCAGGAGGGTGTGCATCCTTTGGAACGTGGTTCCAACTGTCTCCCCGAAGCTCTGCAGACCCCTTTCTTCCCTGTAGCTTATGGTGCACAGAGTCAATCCTTTCTTCCTTAACCCAGCGGCGGTCAGGTAGAACTCACATCCTTTGCAAGCGTGGTCTTGACTATTGGAACAGGTGGGAAGGAAAGAGAGAGCTGCCCCCTCTCAGAAACTGCAAGAAAGCTGTGCAGGAAGTGGGAGGGACAAGACCTCTCTGGAGACAGCGAGGAAAGCAGTGTTTCTCGAGTTGGGCATCAGATAAAGGACGAGGAGGACGCCAAGTTCTGAGCAGCTTGAATTTGAGACGATGCTAGGACGTATCCATGGAGACCCTGAGCTGGCAACCAGGATGTGGAGGTACGTCTCCAGAGAGAAATGCCTGACGCAACTATGTACGTTCAGTCTTACATACACTCAGTCAAAAAGACTTCAGTGAGAGGGTTTTTGCACAGTTTAAAGTGGTTCTGAATTTAAGAGAATATTATTAATTTGGTGGCACCATCTGCATGGAGGTAACAGTTGAAGTCATGGATGTAGAAAATTCTCTAGCGAAAGAAGAGAATCTTGGAGAAACACTCCTCGTTAGTCAAAGACAATAAGAGCATCAAGGAATTAAGAGGAAACAGATCGCAAAAAGGAGGTCAGTACAGAGTCTGAGGAGGGAGAGGTTGAGCAGTGATGAAAAGAATGAAGAAGCCCGTGAGAAGGCTGGTGAGAAAGCCTGTGAGGCTTGGGTTTGAGGAGCAGGAAGTTCCTTGTGAATGAACTTGGACATGGCAAGAGGCCAGCTGAAGGATGCAGAGAAGTTACAGGTAACATGGTGTGTGCTGTTGGCAGCCCCCACATTGCTTGAGCTTTCCAGGGGGCTCCTGTAATTTTCAGGGTGGAATCCACATCCTGGGCTTGAGGAACTGCTTCCCCAGGACCGCAGAAGGCCGCTATGCCCCAGGTGAGCCAGAAATAGCAGAGAACTGATACCTGTCAGGAGCAGCCGTGTCTGACTCTGTGCGATCCCATGGACCACAGCCCGCCAGGCCCCTCTGTCCATAGGAGTCTCCGGGCAAGAAGTGGGTGGCCATTCCCTTCTCCAGGGGATCTTCCCGAGCCGAGGAAGTCAGGTGGGTTCTTCACTGTCTGAGCCACCTGGCTGGTGTATGAACACCCCAGCTCGCTTGCCCTGCCCTGGGGGTGCGGCAGTTCAGAATAGATTCCACACCATGTCTCAGAGATTCCCCCCAAGACTACACTGCAGGTGCCCATGTAGCCACGGTTAACAGCAGACTCTCTAATCAGCGGCATCCCTTTCTTCATCTGCTTTCTTCGCCTCCTATCAGCGCGATCCCTTCGCTCCCCGAGTCTCGCCTCCTATCCGTGCGTTCCCTGCGCTCCCCGAGTCCAGCACTTGCGCTTGAATCCCTGTCTCAGTGTCTGCTTCTGAGGGCAGCCGAGCCGAGACAGGTGATGATGTCATTTCCAGTCCAAACTAGGACACTTGCGAGTGTCAAAAAGGGCGGGGCTGTTGTCAACAGTTATGCTCGGACACGTTCCTGGAGGTATGACCCCACCCCGAGTTATATGCCTCTCCTTTGAGAAGCTGGACTGGGGCCAGAGAGGGGATGCAAAATTCAAATACCAGTTCCATATACCAACTGAGAGTGAAGTTGGTGAAGAATCCACCTGCAAGGCGGGAGATCCCAGCTTGATTCCTGGGTCAGGAAGATCCGCTGGAGAAAGGATAGGCTACCCACTCCAATATTCTGGCCTGGAGCATCCCATGGACTGTATAGTCTGTGGGGTGGCAAAGAGTTGGACACGACTGAGCAACTTTCACTTTCTTTCATACTAAATGAGAGTGAAGTTGTAGGGAGGGTAAAGCTGCCTTTTGCTGAGTGAGCGTTTACACCCTCTGCCCCACCACCCTTTCTGGACAGGAATATGTCCACTCAAGAGTGAGAAAACCTCTCAGGAGGAGAATGGACTGCAGAAGTAGGTCAGTGTCTGGTCCTCAGGAAAGCGAGGCTCACGCATTTCACGAATTTACACTCAGAGGCTGTGAGCAGCGCCATCAGCCATGTAGTCAGTAAGACACTCATCGTAACGGCCTCTCTGAGCGCCCCCTCTTGCTTCCTCTTTCCTTCCATTAGTAAGGTCAATGCGTTCCTCTCTCTAACTGCACAATCAGACAAACCTCCTCTGACAGCACATCCCTACCCTCTTTGTGGGTGCCCAGGCCTAAGGATATCATCTGGAAGCCCAGATCCTTCAATACCCAGGGTCTTTCCACTTCAGATGCTTCCACGTCTACCGTTTTAGCATCTCTCCTCTAAAAAGAGAATTTTTTTTCCCTCTCTCTGCAAGAAATTCTTTCAAGAAAGCCACTCCATTTCACCGCATGGTTGCCAAGGGGAAGCGTGTTCTGGAGGTCACGGTGCCGAGGAAGGACAAGACACTCACACTGCCCCCTCCCAGTGCACATATTAATCCCCGACCGCGCTTTAAGACCCAGCTTCCGTGTGATGTGGGTGGTGCGGACAAAGGGCCTCTGATGCGGGGGGACCTCTGCCTTCCAACCCCCGCTGTCGGGCTGCGGTGCTGGCTGGGCCCCGTGGCTCTCAGGATCCCCTGGGAGGATCCTGAGGAGGGTCTCATCCTTCTGATAGCCTGCTCTTGACAGTCTGGCTTCAGCCACCCTCCTCAAGTGTGAAACTGATAGATAAATAGACTGGGCTGAGACAAACACCCCCATGTATGAAGTCACTTCATCTTCACAACTCTGTGGAGTGAATCCTGTTATTAACCCTGTGTCACAAGTGAGAACTGAGATGCGCAGGTTCCAAGGAGCTTACTGGAGTTCTCTCTGAGAGTAAAGCTTGCGTTTTGAGCAGCAGAAAGCAAAAGACCTGTGGCATACTGTGTTAGACACAGAAGTAAGACTGACTGGTCGGCTGGGCTGGTTAGGAAGGAAGTTCTCTGTGGGTCTGTTCCACAGAGTCCTCATTTGCTGAAAGGATTAGGATTCAGTTCTATAGCTAGGCTCCTGCCCTAGACCTCAAGGCTGGGAGGACAAGCTCCCGTGGGTGGCCCAGGGGAGAGTTGATCAGACACACCTGGTGCTCCTTGGCCTCCAAAACCCAGCTCCCTCCCCAGCCCTCTGCTTAGAAAGGTTTTCTCTCCTGTTAAAAGCCACCCAGATACCCTGGGGAAACCAAAATTGAAAGAGACACATGTTTCCCATTGTTCATTGCATCAATATTTACAATAGCTAGAACATGGAAGCAACCTAGATGTCCATTGACAGATGAATGGATAAGGAAGTTGTGGGACATACACATAAAAAGGAGAGCATTTGCATCAGTCCTAATGAAGTGGATGAACCTAGAACCTATTATACAGAGTGAAGTAACTCAGAAAGAGGAAGTACCATATTCTAATGCATATATACGGAATCTAGAAAAATGGTACTGAAGAATTTATTTTCAGGGAAGCGATGGGGATGTAGACATAGAGAATAGACTTATGGACACAGGAAGAGGGGAGGAGAGGGTGGAATGTATGGAAGAATAACATGGAAACTTACATTACCATGTGGAAGACAGATAGCCAATGGGAATTTGCTGTATGTCTCAGGAAACTCAAACAGGGGCTCTGTATCAACCTAGACGGGTGGGTGGGGAGGGAGATGGGAGGAAGCTTCAAAAGGGAGGGGATATATGTATACCTGTGGCTGATTCATACTGAGGTTTGAGAGAAAACAACAAAATTCTGTAAAGCAGTTATCCTTCAATTGAAAAATAAGTTAATTAAAAAAAGAGCAGTCACCCAGACTTTGCCCTTGTGTCCCAGGTCAGATGCGTTACCTCCTTAGGAAAGGCCCTTAAGAGCCTCCCACCGTCCACATACCCCTAGAGCCCACTCTTCTGCGTTCTTCTCTCTCTAGCCTCTGCACTGAACCTTGCTTGTCCTCGACCATGGTGGCCTCGCCTCCTCCAGACAGCAGGTGAGTGGGCCTGGGTTTCTTCCAATCAGACCAGCAGCTGATGAACGAGTGCCCCCTCCACCCAACCACAGGTGTTTTGGGAGAGTCACACCTTTATTCCGAGGTCCACTTGCTGGGTCAAGATTCCTGATGCTCCCCAAATACACTCATGATTTCCTGCCAATGTCTTGGCTCAGACTGCTCTTCCCACCCTGAAGGACCCATCTCTGCATGTCCAAGCTCCATCCATTCGTTAAGCTGCAGTCGCCACAATGCCTGACGCCCAGCCCTGGGCCCCTCACAGGAAGTCCTCTGCACCCCTCTGAACCTCTGCCCATACCCCTCTAAGGTTATGCCTGTGCTGCGTTCTTCTTGGGAAAATGGAAGATGTGTATGTTTACAGTCACATTTCCTTTTCTAGTCCGTAAGTCCATCAAAGGCTGGATTCAACTGCGTGTCTTCAAATGTGCTTAGCAGAGGGCTTGGCATGCCAGATGTTTTTTTTAAAGAAAGAGAAGGGTCTACTTACATAGAGCATGGAAAAGCAGTGTCTGGTACTGAAACCTTTGGGAATGATGAATAATATATTTGCCAAATAGATGTTGTCCTTGATGCATCAAATCAAATAATATTTATATTGCAATTCCTGTCCTTCTATGGACACTGGGCCCAGGATAGCTCTGAGAATCCAAATAGATCCACTTTCTATACAGAGAAAGTAGATACAGAGCCCCTGTTTGAGTTTCCTGAGACATACAGCAAATTCCCGTTGGCTAGATAGCTAGTCTATTCTATCATTTAAGTTATATTAGTCGTGAGAGGGGACTTGAGGAAGTTTCAGATCCACAGCTCCCTTGGTTTCTCTTTTCCCCTTCATTTTTCTTGCTGATTAAAAATCACTGGAATTTTGAGAAGCCAGTTCTAAGGCTGTGCAATTTTCCTCTTTTAAAAAGTCTGATAGTGAATTTATTACACAAGATTTACAGCAGGCTCTTCACTCCTTACTCTTTGGAAGCCATGTACCTTCTGAGCAGACTTGGGGGTAGCTGTAGGATCAGTACCAGCAGTAGTAGTCATAGCAGCAATAGTACTAGTAATCCTCACTAGTACTCACTAGTCTGGGCCAAAAAAAGATGCCAAAGAAATGAAAACATCTTCAAAGTTAAGCCCCATACAGCTCATGATTTTGAGTATCATCATTGACGAGCTGTGTAAGCTGGGACAAGTTATCACAACCCTCTGAATCACGGTTTCCTCTTATGTAAAATAGAGCTTATATTTGTATCTACTCCACAGTGTGGTGGTAAGGATTAAACAGGACTGAGCATTTAGGACAAACAACTCACCACCTGGCACAGAGTGACTTCCCACTAATAACTGGTGGTTAGATCTACACTTGAAAGAAAAGTTGAAATAGAACCAAGAAGTGATGATTGCTTTTGTACAGCTGGTGAGTACTTAAACTTTTCTTCTGTGCTTCCCACATTTTTATGATATTTATCCACGTATGTATCTAACTCAGTTGCATCACCAACTACTGTCTATATTTAAGTGGTAAACTTCTAAAAGGCAAAGATGCCTCGTGTGCTATTTGTTTGAGTAGCATGATTCCAGGAACATGTAGACACAATATATTCTTAGCTCAGTGGTTTCCAACCGTGCGTCAAAAATCAGATTGGACTTCAGTGGTTTTTAAATGCTTTTTGGGGTCATGAAAGGTTTTTGAGAGTGAAATGAGTGCTGTGGACCAACTCCCAGAAAAATGCACAGCCAAGCAAGTGTCCATCACTGCATCCCTCCCCTCCCCAAGCGAGAGGCTCCCAAATTCAAGCCTTTAAAGTAAACCAAGCGAAAACAACTCACAAACACCACCATGTGCCAGAGGCTTCATAAACTACATCTCATCTAATCTTTAGAAAAAGGCCCGGGTGAAAAGGCCCACTCACACCCTCTGTAAGGGTTCAGAGAGGCTGGGTGTCCAGCACGTGTGAGGTCAAACAGCTGAACGGTTTCACTCTCCCAGCTCAGAAGCCCTCCTTGTTTCCTCATGGCCCACCAGAGATCATCCATCGATCCATAGGCAGGAGCCAGCATTTTCATGCCTGTTCTGCTGGTGAGAACCCTGGAGCCTCCTGAGAAGGCCTCGTGGGAAGTGAAGATGGTAATATCAAGGCGCCCGAGGTTATCTGAGCCTCAGGAGGCTTTACTCCATCCTGGCCAGTGTCTGAGCATGGCATGTGCCAGGCCCTGGGCCAGGATCTGATACATGCCAGGTTATAAAGAAGCCCATGGCCTGAGACTTCCCTGACAGTCCAGCGGTTGAGACTTTGGGCTTTCAATGCAGGGGGTACAAATTCCACCCCTGGTCAGGAAGCTAAGATCCCCCATAGCTTGTGGCCAAAAAAAAAAACATAAAACAGAAGCAATACTGTAACAAATTCATTTTAAAATAACTTTTAAAATAGTCCACTTAAAAGTATCTTAAAAATAAAGAAAGAAAGAAAGAAAGAAAAGGGCCTAGAGGCAAGTAGGCCTAGACTGGGATTCTCGCTTTATCAATTGGTTACTGTGTGACCCTGAGGAAGCTAATTCATGCCTCGAGCCTCAGTTTCCTTATCTGTAATGTCAGGTTAGTCCACTCTTCATTGGGAAGTTACTCTGCTGGTCAGGGGGTCTGACGTTAGGAGAGCAGCCTGCTGGGGGCCTGCACAGAGTGGGTACTGTTCAGAGGTCACTAGCAGATGGATTGGACCTGTTTTAGGTGGTCAGACAAGAGACCCTTAGAGAAAAACAGAAAGTCCTGCCCAGGAGAGGAGCCCCGGGAGAAGGGCAGAGCAGGTCCCCTGCGGGAATACTAATTTCCTCTTCTGTCCAGATCACTCAGCTGACACGTCTCTTTGTTTTCGTGCTGCAAAGGGAAAAATATTTTCCTGGCAGTTGGGAGTAGAGCTTTTCCATTAATCTTCCCTCTGCATGTTGTTTCACCAAGATCGAAAGGGATTCAAAACAAACCCCAGAATGTCACACCGAGGAGGAAGGGAAAATGCAGGCCCTCCGGGCTGGACACGGCTGAGCCGAGGCACAGGTGCAAGGGGACTTTCATCAGGGGGTGTGCCGGCCACGCCCAGCTGTACCCCCAGCTCACACACAAGAGCAGCTTCCCACACATCTCCCCAGATATTTGAATGCAGCACTGAAAGTGTATTCTAATTCTGGACCTCCAAATAGAAATGACTCGCCTAGGAAGTATGAAAACCGCCACTGGGGGGTCAGTCAACCCCCTGTCTCCTGCCCCAAAGCCTCCAGCAGGGGCTAAACTTCAGCTTTTCAGTTCTGGGGCTTGTCAGTTTCCTTTCAGCCACAAGGGATGATCTTTAACATGGATTTTGTCGGCCAGTCCAGCTTGATGACCTATCCAGATACAGGCGCTCAGATGTGAAAAGCCTCCCTCCACACTTACAGAACAATAAACAAGGCCGGAGAACCAAGCCAGCTCTGCCAGCCCAGAGTCCAGTCAGGCTTCAGAGAAGCAGTCCCCACCTCCTTCATCAATGGGGAGCTTGTTTCACCACCGAACAGCTAGCTATTGATTATGCAACTGCCCTTTCTTTCACACCAGGGTGGGGCTGGGGTTGGGAGGGTCAGCCTGTCATCTGCATGTGAGCCTCTTGGCTCTTGACACGTTCCTGCTGCTT